GGAGGGAGGGAAGGGAGGAATCAGAAAAGGAACTGGGCTCTGGCACATCCCTTTCCCGCTTCCAGATCCAGGCTTGGAAAGTAGCCCCTGAAAGGCCCACTCTTCCTCCTTTTTTCCTGCAAAAAAAAGTCCCAGCCTGACCCAGTTCCTTATTTTATCTCCAAATACTACTGGCAGCACAGCCCCAAATCTAAAGGGAACTTAAAACACATCTGCTCTTTCATTCCCAGGCCCCATCCTCGTGTCTTGTGGGGGTAATTTTGACCTCACTGTCTCCTGCCGGAGATCAGAGTTGTACCCTGTTCTCACTTGACAAGACGTGAGTCTCCTAACAGGGCGCCGTGAACCACCCCCAAGCTGCTGCTGAAATCAGGCGTCCATTCCTGTGAACCAGGACCCAGACACCTGCAGGCAGCCCCAGACCGTGTCACAACAGAATTTATTAGATCATAAACGGGTTGCAAGGACAGAAGCACACTGTGGGGGAGGCAGAGTGAGGGGCCCCTCCCCTGTGACCAGCGGGCAGGGCACTTGCCCCTTTCAGAGGAAAAGCAGAGAGAGGTGGGGGCAGCTTTCTTTCCTGAAGCTTTGTAACTTCTCAGCTCTCACATTAGTGCAGAGAGGGGAAGGAATTGGTCCCTGGTTGGACAAGGGCTTTTTCTCTCCCCTTAATCTCACTGTTCAACCTGGTCCCTCCTGGGGCTCATCACTGTCCCCTCTCCGCTGGTAACTCCTGTCTCCCAGAGCTCCGAGTCTCTGCACAATCTGTGTCCACTCCAGCGTGGCTGACAGGAAGTTGGCCCCACCAATCCCAGTCCACTGCCTGTCCTGTCTAGCTGCCTGCAGGTTGCACGTAGCGCCCCTCTAAGTTCTCCTTCCATCTGGAGTCCAGGAACATGCTAGATGTCACCCCAAGTCTCAGGCAGATGAAAACAAGAGGCCAACAAGCCACGGGCACCCATGGGCTTCCCTGGGTTCCACCTCTGCCCACTCAGCATCGCCAGCCCCGTGTAGGGCACAGTAAGCGGGGGCCTCAGAAGTCCAGAGCCTCCTTGGGAGTCCGGCCATGCCAGGCTGCAGGCAGGTGGGTCAGCTCACTGCCCGGTCTCTCGCTGGGCGCCTGGGGATGAGCCCATCCCAGGAGGCCTTGGGCCAAGCCTGTCCATCAGCTCTGGGCAGCAGCGAGGCCGAGTGCCTGTGCCCGTGGCTCCTGGTGACACTCCTGCCAGGCTGGTTTGTTGCAGGTTAGGCTGAGGAAGAGCCCCCGGAGCCCCCGGAGCCGGCCGTGGATTTGGGGACCGCTGTCAGGGCTGCTGTCGTCCTCCGCCTCCACCCTCGGCCTCTAGCTGTCACACGGCTCACCTGGTGGCTTCTCCTGGACGCAGCCGCTGACCTCGGGGAGGGAGTTGGAGAAAGCAGGGCTGTAGAGGCGGTGCAGCTGGGTGTCTGGCGGGCTTGAGGAGCCCCCGGTCAGCTGGGGAGCGGCCTGGGGGGTGCAGCGGTTCATGACGGAGGAGAAGAAGTTGGAGAAAGACGGGCTGGAGAAGTAATAGACGAGTGGGTCCAGCATGCTGTTCATGTAGGTGAAGCTGAGCGTCAGCAGGAACACCCGATTCATGGAGGCGATCAGGGCGTGGTGTTCACTGCAGCTCGCCGTCCCGTTCCTCTCCCTGAGGACCACGATGCCCATCCTCATGGCCACGCTGGGCAGGAAGCACGTGGTGAAGACGACGGCCACCACCAGGACCAGGCGGATGGCCCTGCGGATCTTCGCGTGCCCGTCCATGTGTCGCCGCCGCCGCAGGCTCCAGACGACGCGGGCCGAGCAGAAGAGGACGATGGCCAGCGGCAGGAAGAACTGGACGAGGAACAGGGCGTCGTGCCAGACGGGCCTCGGACAGGCCAGAAAGTGGCTGCAGATCACCGTCCCACCCGGGCAGGCCGTCAGCTTTATGGTCAGGAGGGGGGCGCTCAGGCCGATAGTGACGCCCCACAGGACGCACGAGGCGATGGCGGCCGAGCGGCTGGAGATCTTGTTGAGGGCGTGGTGGGGGTGCACCACCCTGAAGTACCGGTCCACGGCCACCACCGTGAGGAAGATGATGCTGCCCTGGCGGTTCATGGCCAGCATGAAGAGGGTCACGTGGCACGTGAGGGTCCCTATCTTCCACTGCCACCTGCTCACGTACTTGTAGATTAGAAACGGCAGGCAGACGAGGAGGAGGAAGTCGGCCACGGCCAGGTTGAACAGGAAGACGCGGCTGGGCTTCCAGGACTTGAGGTGAAAGCAGAAGATCCACAGGGCCAGCCCGTTGCCCAGCACCCCAAGCACGAACTCCAGGGCCAGCACGGACGTCATGACGCTGGCGATGGCGTTGTCATGGAGCACAGCGTGGTCACTGCAGTTCATTTCCAGAGAGGTGGCGCCGGCCCTGGGCGTCCTGAGCTCAGTCCTCCGGGGTGCCTGCAGGCCCGAACGCCCAGGAAGGAGCTGTGTGTCCGTGTGCAAGCGGGCGGCCCTGTGCAGACTTTCCAGCCCGCCCAGAAGGGTGTTGAAATCGATGAGTGAACAATTACCAGGAAGCCCAGAAGCAGATAGAGATAGTGGGGTGGTCACAAGATGCCTTGGCCGGAAGATGAACCCAAGGTTCCCATCCGAACCCCCTGACATCAAGCTGATTCTGACTCACGGTGCCCCTCTGCTGGGCTTCTGAGGCCACAGGTCTTAAGAGGGGACCCTTGGGGCTTCAGTAGAGCAGCTGGTGGCCTTGAACTGCTGACCTTTCATGCTGTTCCTGCCTTTCACGGTAACCCAGCACTCAGCCTCTGACAATGACCTCAAATTCCTTTTTAATTCTTTTCTTTTCCATGGCCTTCCCACTCTGGAGGGTGCGTCCTCGAAGGGTGGCCACGGTCCCCTGCTCCTTGCTCCGTCTCTGTTAATCAGAGGTGCATTAACCGAGGCAAAGCCGTGGCCGCCCTGCCCACCCCGCCTCACAGCCGCCCGATGGGACAGTGCCGAGCCAGCCCAGGGGGTCCCCGGCTGTCAGCGCTGCAGAAGCAGAGGCCTGGCCTTCACATGAGTGGCCGATGGGTTTGAACTGTTGCCCTTCTGGTCACCAGCCATGTGTTTAACGCCTGGCATGCAGTTGGCGCTTACTACATAAAACAGGCTGGATACCTGAGCAGAGACCCCTGTGGGAGTGCTGAGTTCTGCACAAACGCACACAATCTCGGCTGCTGAAAGAACGCCCCGCTGACAGAGTCAGCTATCTCCTAGCATCTCTTCCTTCTGGGATGGCAGCCCTGCTTTGAGACTTCTGCCTCTCTCGATGTTGCTCTGAGGTCCAGGGAGCCCCCGGCTCTGCATTGAGGACGTCTGAGAACCTCTGCATTCCCTTCTTCCTGCATTGCACCCGGGTCTGTCAGTCTGAATCTCGAAGTTTCTGATCTGCAGCCAAGAGACACCGAGGCACCCAAACCCACCCTCTGCACTGGACTGGAGCTGGTTCTTCTTGGTGGCAATGACACTTCCTGGCTATTTTAAGGACGGGCTGAGGTCAGATAAAAGGAGCTGCGTGTCTCCCTGGAACGGGCTATGAGGTTCTGGAATGTTCCTCTAGCAGATCCTCCTTGACCACCGTCTTCCAGTTATTACCAGACTCACCTGGAGATGTCTTCCAGAGGCTGGGCTGGAGAAGCTGTGTCTTCCGGGAGTTCAGAATGCTGACTGAGAGACATTTCAATCGTGTGTCCCCACTGCGTACAAGAGCCATAAAAGGCTCGCCCCAGGGCCACGCTGGGCAGGAAGCAGATGAAGGCGGAGGCTGTCACCTTGACTAAGCCCGTGGTTATCTGACCTTTTCGTGGCTGTCTCTGCCTCAGCCGCAGGTTGCCAAAGACTCTGAGTAGACGAGGTTGAAGGCCGGGGCAGCTCCAGCGAGAGCGCGACGTGCCACCTGACGGCTTCGCAGGTGCCGAAGCTGCCGCCCGAAGCGCCAGGGCTGTGGACCAGCATGGCCTTGGCCAGGAGGTGACAAGAGCAAGCCACCCATACAGACGGGGGATGGTGGTGGCCGTCCAGCGGCAGATTTGTTCAGAGCTTGATGGGGATGCACCGCCGTGAGGAAGATAACGCTGCCGTAACGGCTCACGGTCAGCCGGGAGATGGCCACCAGCCTGCGGTGCCTCCAGACCCCCTTCCTCCCCCTGCTGTCTGCCATCTCCCTGGACCCCAGAGAAGAGCTTCGGTGCCAGCACAGGCAGCCACACTCTGGCGAGGAGATCATTCCAGAACACGTGACAGTCTTGGGCTTCTTCCCAGACAATGGTCATCTTTCTGGAGAAGTTGCTCAAGGAAAGGGGTGTGCATCAGAGTGGGGAGCGTGTGTGGTTCAGCTGCCGCCTGACAGCTCTCCAGAGTGCTGAAATGACGCTTGATAACCAGAGGCAGCCAAGCGGGGGGTGGGGGGCTGCGTATGGGGAGCACTGACAGGGACCTGGGGCTGCACGCTGTTGTTCGCTGCCGTCGAGGCAAGTATGACCGTGTGACACTGAACGACAGATCTGAATCCTGTCCCCTCCTGTGCCATCCTTAGCCTCTCAGGTGTGTCTGACCCCATTGCTGCAATCTCTGTGTCAACCCACCAGACCGAGAGTCCTCCTCCCCCTGGTCGACCCTCTGCCTTTCTACGCATCATGTCTCTCTCCAAGCATGAGCCCCTCCTAGCAATGTGCCCAAAGTATGTGAGACGAAGTTCTTCCATCCTTGCCTCCAAGGAGCACACTGGCTGCACCTTCTCTGGACGTATCTGTTTGTTCTTTTGACGGTCTGTGGGTCTCCATGGCGATCCCCAAATCCATTCCCCTCCTTTACCTTCTGCTGTCTCCCTCTGGAGTCTGGTTCTATGAAAAAGGGGTCTAAACTTTCTAGTTCCTGATCACAGTAGCTCCTGGCACATGGGGCTTGACAGGTTAAAAAACAAACTGAATGCATGAAATAAAAACACGAATGTGAAAGAAGACATTTAGATGGCAAAAAAAACACATGAAGAAATATTCAAAATCCCTAGCTCTAACAGAGATGCAAATCAAAACGAATACGAGATATCATTTCATCCCAGTAAGAATAGCAAAATTCAATAGAATAGAAAACATAAAAAATGCTGGCAAGGTTGTAGAGAAACTGGAACTCTTATTCACTGTTGGTAGAAGTGTAAAATGGTGCAATCACTGTCGAAGGTGGTATGGTGCTTTCTCAAAACGTTGGAAACAGAGATACCATTTGACCCAGCAATTCCACTACTGGGAATTTACCCTAAGGAAATCATAACTGTCAACCAAACAGATATAGGCTCAACCATGTTTATTGCGACTTTGTTCACGATAGCAAAGAGCTGGAAACAACCCAAGTGCCCATCAACAAACAAATGGATAGAGAAGCTGTGATATATTCACACAATGGAATACTACGCTGCATTGAAAAACAAGGAACTCATGAAATATTATTCAAAATGCGTGAGCCTGGAGGACATTATGCTGAGTGAAATATCTCCGTCACAAAAGGACATATGCTACATACTGCTACTGTTGTAAAGCAGGACTGACATCAGAGTTGGGGGGTAGTGAAAAGGGGATAAATAATGTATACTGCACTGAAGCAGATGAGGCAGAGAACTGTTTAGGGGAAATATATGACTAGGTATTATTGTTAGGACAGGAATTCAGAATGAAAATTGCACAGTAGCGTGAACTGGGAGTGGGGGATATTATATAACAATGAAAGATTTTTTTTTTTACTTTTCAAAGAGAAACGTGAACTGGGGGGAGGAGTGGGTGGGGAGGAAATTGTGCAACAATGAATGAATGGAAATATAAAAAAATTAAATTTTTAAAAAATTAATGTGAGGGTTTTAGTTCTGAATACATCAAAATCACGCTGCCTGATGACAGAATCAGAGTTTCACAGCTTGATTCCTGCTAACACAGAGTTGGGGTTGTGGGGGGAGCGTGACTCTGAGCATAACTGTGGCACCTCTTCCTCTGTAAGGTGGGGATCCCTGCTTTTCATATTCTACCTCTCATGATGTTGCTCTGGGATCGGGGGAGCAATCAACTCTGCATTTAAGACATTCAAGACCTTCTCACTCACGCCAAACAATAGACTTCTAAGGTGAGCATGAATACAGGGAGGTGTGCCATCCTTAGAATAATCAGCCACATATGATAAACGGGGCAGCATTTTCCGGGGCGTAGAGCTCAGAAAGCAGGGAGGGTGAGTGGAAATGAGAGTCACAGGGAGGAATTGGGCAGAGTGCAGTTACGTTGTGAGGGGTGCAATTCATGCAATAAAACCAAATGCACATGCGAGCTGAATGGAAAGTCAGTTTGCTCTGTAAATAATCCATTCAAATCACAATAAGAAGGGGGAAAGCTACTAAAAAAAAAGACATTCTAAGTCTATCTCCATTTACTACATCCAGGGCTGGGAAGCTCAGTATGTGAATTTCTCTCCCAGCCAAGTCCAGGGCGTGCCACAGCGTGTTCACGGAACAAGGAGGGGCAGCAGCTGAACAGCAGCGTGACGCTGGGTCGAGCAGAGATTCAAACCAGCGTGGCTCTTCTCCACCCCTGAGCCGGTACCGAAACCACCCCTGGGTGGCCCTGCCTTCCTCCTCCAGCGGGAAAGATCCCGGTCTGGCCCAGTTCCTTTTTTTAATGCATGAATACCAGTAGCCACACTTACCCAAGTCTAAACCCAATTTTAAAATGCACCCACAGTCTGCTTCCCCAATTACATCATCCTTCCTTGTTTCCAGTCCGTCCCATCCTTGTCCCGCGTACAGGTAATTTTGACCTCACTGTCTCCTGGTGGAGATCAGAGTTGTACCCTGTTCTCACTTGACAGGATGTGAGTCTCCTAACAGGGCGCCGTGAACCACCCTCAAGCTACGAGGCATCCACGCCTGTGAACCAGGACCCAGACGCATGCAGCCCCAGACTGTCACATCAGAGTTTATTCAAGCAGTAGGTGGCTCACAAGGACAGGAGCACACAGTGGGGGAGGCAGAGTGAGGGGTTCCTCCCCTGTGACCAGCAGGCAGGGCACTCGCCCTCTTTCAGAGGAAAAGCAGAGAGAGGTGGGGGCAGCTTCCTTCCCTGCAGCCTTTTAACTTGTCGGCCTTCACATTGGTGCAGAGAGGCGAAGGAATTCACCCCTAACCGGAGGACAAAAACCATGTCCTTTCCTTTAACAACACTGCCTGGCTTGGAAATCTGATTACACCAGCCGATATGTGTGTGTCTGGAGATCCTATTTCTTGGTGATAATATGGCTTTCTGGAGAGATTATTTAGGGAGAGGCTGGGTCAACCTAGTGGGGACTCCAGGGATCACGGAAATTTCTCGTTCAACCTTCTAGATTGTCCCTAGTGGGGCTTCTGAAGAGCATTTCAGCCTGGGCTCCTCCGTGCTATTCCTGCAGGAAGGCTGACGGGCCTGGTGAACGGCTGGCTACGCAGGCTGTGCGGGTGGACCCCCATTACGTATGGGACCCAGAAAATACCTGTTGTGGTGACCACGTGGGCAGAAAGCATGGTCAAGGAAGTGACTGACTGCAGATTTCCACGTGCTTGTCCGTTCTGCCCACGTTCCATGTTGTTGTGACCGAGCAGGAGTAACAGTGGGAGTGCTGGTGCTGACGCCGCCATCCAGGTGTGTCCCAGTGTCCTCGGGGACCGAGGTGACAGGTCAGGGCCATGGGGTGCCCATGAGTGACAGGAGCCCATGGTGGCCAGTGATGAGGACGGAGTCTCGTTGTCGTGAGCATGGGGACGCCTGTCCGTGGCCGGCACCATCAAGATGCTGCTGCCCTGCGGCTCATGGCCATCATGCAGGGCATCAGGTAGCAGGTGCTGTCCCTTCACGTCTGACCCCCTTCTTCACGCACGTGTCTGTCCAGAAGGGCAGGCGGATGGTGAGGAGAAAGTCGGCCGGGGTCAAGTTGAACAGGAAAATGCAGCTGGGCGTCCAGGACTCGAGGGGGGAGTAGAAACGCAGAAGGCAAGACCACTGCTCAGACGTAAACCCCAGCCCCGCAAAACCAGCAGCCACACGTTGGTGCTGAAGTCACGGGGACACAGGCGCTCTGGGGTCTTTCTGGACTCTGCCGTCTTTCTGTACCGTCTTCCCACCATGACCAGTTCTGCTAAGTTCTAGGTGACACTCAAGGGGAAAGGTGTCTGTGTGGGGGACAGGGGTCCAGCAGCCACCGTGATTCCATGTCCGAGGGCTGAAACACATGACTTGGGAAAACACACATCGTGTGGACACAGAGCTTTGAACCCGGGTCTCCATGATGATCCAAAATTCTCCTATTGCCTTCCTCTACCCTGAGGTCTTTGAGAAGGCACTCGGCTACCTCCCCCTTGTTCTTTCTACCCCCAGTGCAGCACCTGGCGCATCCCGTTGAAACCCACAGCCACTGAGTCAGTTCTGATTGTCCTCACCCTCTGGGACCCACCCGGTAGGGCTTCCTAAACCGGGAACTTTATGAAAGCAGACTGCCTCATCATCCCCTCTCCGCCCCCAGGAGCAGCTGGTGGGTTGGAGCCACTGACCTTCTAGTCAACAGGCCCGCCCTGGGTCCACTGTGTCCCCAGGGCTGGTGCTTAAGCCGGAAGGACGGACTGCATGCCTGGGCCAGTGATTGGATGTACGCTGTCAATTTCTGAACCACTGATACCCTCCACTGAATGCAGAGTTTCACCACTCAACTCCCCACGGGCTCAGAGTCGGGGTGCAGGGAGCCCTGTGTTCCTCTGAGCCAGACTTGGCTGTCTCTTCTTCGTAGGACCGGGGCCCTGCTTTCTGGCTCCTGAGATGGTGCTTTGCGATAAAGCCAGCAACCGGCTCTGTGTATAAGAAATCCAAGCACCTGCCTTCCTCCCAAGCTGCCAGCCAGGCCTGGGAGTTTCCGTCTGCGTGTGTGTGCACTCAGACGGACGGGAGCTCAAGGTGGGTCTCACCTTGTTCCTAGAACTGCTGGAACTGCAGCCTGACACAGGGATTCTCAGCAGCACTGCTCTTCTCCACCCCAGAACCAGGACAGAAGCGACCCCGGGAAGCCCTGTGTTCCTGGCAGGGAGGATTCCAGTCTGGCCTGGCTTATTTCTGACTACATGACTACTCACAGCGATCTTTACTCTACTCTACTCTCAGCTGTAAAGAGCATTCAAAGTCTACTCCCCTCAGTTGAATCATTCTTCCTTGTTCCCAGCCCGTCACATCCTTGTCCCGCCTGCGGGTAGTTTTGACCTCACTGTCTCCTGCCGGAGCTCAGAATTGTACCCTGTTCTCACTTAACAGGGCGCCCGCCTTTAACCACCCCCGAGCGTCTGCTGAAGTGAGGCGTCCATGCCTGTGAACCATGACCCAGACACACGCATGCAGCCCCAGACCGTGTCACAACAGAGTTTATTCGAGCAATAAATGGGTTGCAAGGAAAGGAACATGCAGTGGGGGAGGCAGAGTGAGGGGTTCCTCCCCTGTGACCAGCGGGCAGGGCACTCGCCCCCTGTCAGAGGAAAAGCAGAGGGGAGGAGATGGCTTCCTTTCCTGAAGCCTTGTAACTTCTCAGCTCCCAGATTAGTGCAGAGAGGGGAAGGTATTAGGGAGAAGGTGAGAAAAAAAGGGCAACAGTGAATTAAGTAAAAAAAAGGGGGGGCCCAGGATTCGTCCCTGGTTGGTGAACAAAAGCAATTTCTTTTCCCTGAATAATATTCCCTGAAGAACTGGGCCCTTCTGCGGGGACCTCAGATGCCAGCCAGAGCTCTGAGCCTCTCTACCTCACAGGGCTGGATGATGACCGGATCCCACCAACCCCAGCTGACCTGCCGTCCTGTCGTGTCCAGTGATGTCCGGGCTCCTCCCAGCCCAAGCACAGTGCCCCTCGGCTCGTGCCCCTCGAGGCTGCTCCAGTGCCAGACAGGTGCTGCCAGGTGGCACGCACGGCACAGGTGGCTCGCAGCCTGCGCTCTGGCTTTGCCGCCTCCCCGTCCTCAGCTGGGGCCCCCTCCTTTCTGCCAGCACCCCCGTGGCTCGCTCCACCTGTTTCCATAAGTCTGATGCTCTGAGCCGGGGAGGCCTGGGCCCCGAGTCCTCCACGCGGCTCCGCGCACCAGCAGCACCACGCATCCGGGCATGGTGGTTGTGGGTTTCCACGTTTGCGCCTCAGCTGGGTCCCTGCAGGAGAGGTCAGGGTCACTCACGGGGGGCCCACGGCGCTCCGGAGCCGGCCATCAAGGCTTCCGGCACGTTCCTGGTGGTGCTGAGCTCCTCCGTCAGCTCCACGCTCGTGCTGCGGTTGGCGTCCGGCTCGCCTGGCGCCTTCTTGAGGCAGCGGCTGTAGATGGTGGAGAAGAAGTTGGGGAACGACGGGCTGGAGAAGTAATAGACGAGCGGGTCCAGCATGCTGTTCATGTAGGTGAAGCTGAGGGTGATGAAGAAGGCCAGGTCGACGGCGTGGTAGGGCTCGCAGGCCTGCACGCCCACCGTGCGCAGGAGCCAGAAGATGCCCACGCGCACGGCCACGCTGGGCAGGAAGCAGATGACGAAGACGACGGTCACCACCAGGATGAAGCGGATGGCCCTCTTGATCTTGGCGTGCCTGTCCATCTGCCGCCGCCGCAGGCTCCAGACGATGCGGGCCGAGCAGAAGAGGATGATGGCCAGCGGCAGGAAGAACTCCAGGAGGAACATGGCGTCGTGCCAGCCGAAGGCCTTGCAGATGCTGAAACTGCTGCACAGGTAGGCCCCCCGGTTCTCCGTCAGCAGCTTCTTGTAGAGGAGGTGACAGGTGAGGCCGATAGTGACGCCCCACAGGACGCAGGAGATGCCGGCGGCCGTGCGGTTGGAGATCTTGTTGAGGGCGTGGTGGGGGTGCACCACCCTGAAGTACCGGTCCACGGCCACCACCGTGAGGAAGATGATGCTGCCCTGGCGGTTCATGGCCAGCATGAAGAGCATCAGCCGGCAGGCGGGGTCCCCGAACCTCCAGTCCCACCTGCGTACATAGTTGTCGGTGAGGAAGGGCAGGCAGATGATGAGGAGGAAGTCGGCCACGGCCAGGTTGAACAGGAAGACGCGGCTGGGCTTCCAGGACTTGAGGTGGAAGCAAAAGATCCACAGGGCCAGCCCGTTGCCCAGCACCCCAAGCACGAACTCCAGGGCCAGCACGGGCGGCAGCACGCTGGCGATCAGCCCATTCCGGAACACGCAACAGCTCTTGTTGTCCACGAGGAGGAAGTTGGGGTCTGTCTGCAGGGAGCCGGGGTGCATGAGTGGACCTGCGGCGGGGCGGCGGCCGAGTCCTGCCAACCCGGCGCTCAGGGCAGGAGGCAGCGTCTGTGTGCAGAGCCCGGCCCGGGGCCGCCTTTATTTCACGTCGGTGTCGAAATAGATGACTGAATGGTTACCAGGAAACTACGAAACAGCTTTCAAAAAAAAAAAACCAACCAGCCAGACTGTTATGCAACCCAGTATTTCCATAAACAAGTAATGAGAATCCCCTGAACTGACAGGAGCCCACAGAACTTTCTAGAAGGAAAGGACCCGTTTGGGCAGGCCGGCTGTCATTGGTGAGTCGCTGGAATGTGGAGCTCTGGACGCACAGCCCCTGCCCTCGGCGCTGCTGAAGGAAAGCCGGGTCATCGGCTCCCTGAACCCCCCGCAGAGCTAGGAGCTGGCACATCTGGGGGGCAGACAGTGTGGCTCCCCAGGACGTGTAAGACCTCTCAGCACGCGGCTGGGCTTTGTTGACCTTTGAGGTCGTGTAACAGGTTGTCTTCTTTTGAGGACAAGCACTGGACTCGAGCACCAAACCCCTGCTCTCCTCCCTAGATGGGCTCGGGCCACCACTCCCCACAGTTGTGTTGTGAGTGGACGTGGACTTGGGTCGCACACGCTGAGACCCCAGGTCCTGCCCCATCCTGTCAGGAGTAAGCCCACCCGTAGCGGCTGGCATGTCATCATGGTCTCTTGAGGAATCTTCCTCTGCTTTTCCAATGCCGTGTCCTCCTGCAGCCCCTCCCTGCCACGTGTCCCAAGTACGTGAGAAGAAGCTTCGCCAACCTGGCTTCGAAGCAGCGCACTGGTTACACTTTCTCCAAGACACACTGCGTTCGTTCTCTGTCAGTCGGCCAGAGAGTTCACGCTCTTGTCCAGCACCACAGCTCAACGGCAGTGGGAAATGGCAGGTTGGGTGACAGACGGGGCCCCATCTCTCAGCAGGACACCACTCTGCTATCATGGCTTTGCTTGTCAGTGTCTACGTGAAACTCCACAGGACGTCTCTCCCCTTTTGATACTAGCTTTGATGAATTCTTGCTATTTTAGAGATTCCTAAGCCACTTGCTTCTGCTCCGAGTTAGACACAAAGTGATTCCTTTTACTGTACACTCAGTTCCACTAACAAGAACTTTTAGACCCTTCCCCATAAGCTGGAGTCAAGGTGAACTCACACGAGACTCCCGTGGGGCCATACACTCGACAGGGTTTGCTGTCAGCCACTTAACAGGGTCAGCAGTTCCAAGCCACACAGTTAAAGCGCCTCCGGAGAAACGCCTGGTGGTCGACTTCCACATGCTTGAGAATCTCATTGTTATTGTGAGGTGTTCTCCTGTGAATTTTCAGCTCAGAGTGGCTCACTGGGACACAGTAGAACTGCCTCAGTGGGTCTCCTAGGCTGCAATCTTTATGGGAGCAGATCTGCTGGGTGGGTTCGAACACCAGCCTTTCGATCAGCAGGCCCACCATCAGGGCTCCTGTGTGCAAGATGACAGGTGGTGAAAACTCCACGGGACTCCAGTCCGCTTTGAAACACAGGGCATTTCCGCCATGAGTCGTTACATGTCCATCTTGAACTATACCTCTGCCATGACCATCACGGTGGCACCTAGACAGCACAGTCCTTCAGTTTGTGAGCAGCAGAGCAGACAGACAGGAACCAGAGGGGTGGAGGATGTGGACAGATTGGGGCCCTCTTCTTTGCTCAAGTGGTAAGGAACTGCACTGCTAACCCGAAGGTATGTGGTTCGAATCCACCAGCTCCCCTGCAGGGAGTTGAGGAGCAGTCTCCTCCCGTGTGGTTTGCTGCCTTTGAAAATCTCCTGACGGGTCAGCTCTGCATCAGTTCTGACTCGACAGCCCACGGCACCACCATTGCCAGCTGGAATTCAAAGCGGGGCCACTTTTTGGGGACCCCAGACTGACAGATCCTACACGTGAACTCCGTCGTCATTGTGTGATCCAACATCTGCACTTCTCCACACAGCCTCGAGAGAAATGAAAAGACAGTGCCCACGCAGGATTTGTCATTATACCCCAAAAGTGGAAACGACCCAAATGACTGAGTTACTGTTCCCACTTTAAAACAAAGAGAGTGGGACTCGGAAATTCCTTCAAGATCACCTACCTAAACACAAGCGGATCTTGGATTTGACTCGAGCCCTGACTTCAGAGCCTGTATCACCTACTGTGATGGTCACACTTGTTTGCTGTTAACTTTTCATTGTGATTGAGGTGACAGCTTACAGAGAAAGTCAGTCTTCCATTCAACAATTGAGGTACCTTTTGTTTCGAGACGTTGGCTGCAGTCCCCTCAGTGTGGCAGCACTCTTCCGCTTTCCTCCCGGGGGTTCCCACGTCCATTCGGCCTCTCTTGCCTTCTGAGCTTTGTTTTGAGCCGATTCTGCCCTTCTTGGTGGCCAGTGGTTGATCATATGGAAGAGTACATACCTTACAGGTGCTGCTGTTCACTTTATATATCATATCAGTTCTTCACTGGGCATGCAGTCTCTGATGTGTCCCCACCTGGTTTCCAGACTGCACTGGATCAGCCCTGGTCTGTGCTTCATGGTTGTATTAAGGCTCTAGTGTGATGATTGGGGTCCCCCACACCTCGTCTTTGTTGGCCATGAATGTCACGCTGTGGGAGAATGAGGCCTTGATAATTTTGGGGAAGTAATCTTGGTAGGATTCTCTCCCTCCAGCAGGGGTTGCTGCTGTGTGTTGTCGAGTCAGAACTGACCCAAAGCTGACCCTCCCTCCAGTAGTTTTCAGAGACAGTAGATCACATGGAAAGAAAGCACCCATCTTTCTCCTGTGGAGCAGATGGTAGATTAGAACCACGCACCTTTGGGTTGACAGCTCTGTTTCTCACCACTAAGCCACCAGAGCTCACCCCGTGCAGGAGACCAGGGTTCCATTCCTGGCCCGTGTGCCGTGTGCCCAGTCACCACCCATCTGCACACGATGCTCGCGTGCTGCTGTGAGGTTGGACGGGCCAAAGCAGCCTAGGAGGAAAGGCCTGCCTGCCTACTGCTAAAACCAGCCAGCAGAAATGGTGTGCATCGTGTTAGCTGTACCACAGCTGACCCCAGGGGTGGCACGGGCCCAGGCAGCACTCCGTTCCCCGAGCACAGGGTCACCTGAGGGCATGTGGGGTCGCCAGGAGCTGGGACCTAATCCATAGCAATGAACACAACAGAGCCCTTTATCAGCTCAGAATCAGAGAACAGACTGCTGAGAGGGAGTCCTGCTGACCCAGTCGGTATGGAGTTGTTACCAACAAGGCAGGCGGTTCAAATCCAGCTGCTCCCAGGGAGAAGGATGTGCAGTCTCCACCCATGTGAGATACAGCCTCTGAAAACCTGCGGAGTAAGCCCGGAGCCTATGGCAAGGAGTAGGGAAAAGGACGCACAACCACACAGGACCACAAGAGCAGCATTTGCCCAGGGACCAAGCTCAGAAGGCAGGAATACATGGGAAGCGACAAGTGGAAATGGGAAAAACAGGGAAGACGGGGGAAGGGTGCTGTTACACTGTGGGATCACTATCACATAACATAATGCACATGAACTACTAAAGTTACCATGTAAAAGTTCACCAAAATCCCAACAAAAGAGATACAGAAAGCATTGTTTCTAGGGGGCTCTCCCTTTCTAAGTTGTATACTTTTATAATACACTATCTATGTGCTTTTAAGAGCAATTGTCATAGAAAAAAATTAGAGAAGATTTTTTTTTAGTTATAGAAATGAAAAGGAGCTACTGCCAAAGGGGCCCTTTAGAGTAGTGAGAGAAGATCTTCACCCTGAAACCCACAGCGTCCCTTTTCAGCAGGAAGTAGCTAAGAGAATACGCCGTCCCCTTTTCCTTATGACTCAGGGTGAAGTCTCTCTCAGGGAGGAGTGATAGGGAATGGCAAAGGATACACTGACAAAGAAGATTAATCAGAACTGGCTTTGACAAGCACTGTGGCATTTGGACAAGAACAAACTGGGAGGAGGGTAAAGAGAATAGTGCAACAATGAATGAGTGGAAGCCCAAAATCTCTGTAAATGTTTATGAAAATTAATAAAATATAATTAAAAAAAATTGTGGATCCAAGCAAAAAAAAAAAAAAAAGAAATGAAAAGGAGGGAGAGAGAGGTTGGGGTCCCTGGGTCCCAGTTCTGCCAGAATTTAGCAGTGTAACTTCTCAGCCCTCCGTTTCCTCATGCAGAAGCTGAGGGATCAGACGATGTCCAGATTTCCTTAAAGCGTTCACAATTTCAGAATCTGAACCAAAGTTCATGGCCAGTCGTGCAGAATGTGTGTCCTTCTCCCTGGATTCGGGCCCTGTGGAGGGAGTGCCAGTCTTCCCGGGACCCGCGGGCCTGTGTGGCCAGTGATCTCCGGGCCTGGATTGATTTCATGTTCTTATGACAGCGTGTGCCGGCAGAGCCTTGTCTGCGTGAATCATTCCAGAAGCCAGGGCAGTCATCCTGAAGAGCTGAGTGGGAGGCAGGCTGAGGATCTGTGATTCTCAAAATGAAGTGGATGATCCGTGGCTGGTTCTCCTCTTTCTTTTTTTATTGGGAAAAAACATATTGGGGGTACAAGGAGGTGAGGGTTGGGGGCAGAAGGGTGAGGATGGGCAGGGATGCAGTCGCAGAACTGCAGAAATTGGTTGGTGGGGGGAGCAGGTGAAGAAAATGAAAATGATCCAGTGGGGACCAGATGCTACAGGAAAATGACAAGCATTTTCCAATGGTAATTAAATCAACTGTCTTATTGATTTGGGAACTGGATGCAGACTCTCTGGCTTCTTCATGCTGAACAGGGGCGTTGATGTGAAGGGGGAAAGGGAGGACACTTTATCACCTTACTGGTGATGTTGGGTTAAGGCTGCTTGCCTTCTTGTTCTGTTAGAAGATATTTTCCTGTTGGTTCTCCTCTTATAGCTTGAATATTGGCCCCTCCAAGGGACAGGGCTGGGGAGGGGGGAAGAAAATGTTC